GCACATGGCTCCCTGGCGCACAGTTGACATTCAGCTCTGCCAAAGCTGGGTCAGGACGAGGCCCCCTGTCAGGCTGCAATCGCGAAATGTCTCCCAGAAGATGCAAGCTTTTCTTGGCTGTGTTTCTCCGAAGGACCCCGGAAGTCACGTGGCTAGTCATGAATTAGGCTAAAACGGGGTCCTTTAAACTTGATCCAGATATAGGGCTAAAGTGGGAAGAGCTGCCTGGACTGGGGATAGAGCAGCACAGTATAAAGTGGAGTGATTTTTTCAATGTTGTGCCTACTGGATACTTCCACCACCACCACCACCATCATCATCATCATTATCATCATCTGCTCAACAAACGTGTATTAGGCACACATTCAAGGTACTGGGCGGAGTACAGGGGATAAGATACGACCTCTGACCTCCAGGGGTGGAGGGAAATCAACATATAAACTAACCTAAGTGAAAGCCCATTATAAACATTATAAAAAGCAGGCAGAGAAAGTGGTCATTTTAGTGAGGCAGGAAATGTTGGGAGAGGCTGCATACAGGTAACGGGAACAGAATGTTGAAAAGGTACTCACTCCTGAGGGAGCAGAGACCAGTGTGAGCAGAGGTGTGGCGTGGGGGGCAGCTGCCCACGGGGAACAGCACCGGCTTTTCTTTATCATAGGAACACAGTGTCAAGGGGTGGAGGGACATGGGTGAGGAGGGTATGAGGGATAAGACTGGGGAGGCAGGCCTGGCGGGGGTGGCTCAGTGGTTGAGCATTGACCTATGAACCAGGGGGTCACAGTTGGATTCTGGATCAGAGCACATGTCTGGATTGCAGGCTCATAGGGGGCGTGCAAGAGGCAGCCGATCAATGATTCTTTCTCATCGTTGATGTTTCTATCTTTCTGTCTCCCTCCCTAAAATCAATAAAAATATATCTTAAAAAAATGACTGGGGAGGCAGGCAAGGTACTGGCTGCTGAAGGGGTCCCACCGACATGTGCCACGTGATATTTGGGATGTCCAATCAAGAAGACGACTGAGTCGATACATCCGTTGCCAGCATTCCAGCCATCACCTGGAAGCAGGTGCGTCCGCACGGGCAACGTGCACACCCTCTTCTGGTACAAGAAACTGCCACTTCTTTTTCACTTAGACTAGAGTTAGTTCCTGTTTTCTTGGCAAAGGATGTGCTTGGGTGTTAAGCACATCCTTTGGGGGGACAACGGCTAGAGATGGGTGCTTCCACGGACTGTGGCACTGAGAGAGCAAGGACAGGTCTGTGATGGGAAAGAACCGGGGCCAGTAAGGAAGAGCCAGAGGCGGAGGACGAGAAAGGACAACAAAGTCAAGTCACACGTCTGTCTGGCCAACACATGCCCAACCAGCACACGTCCTGAAGGGGTACGTTTCCATCCTTGCCTGTTTAATTCTTCACATGAAGGTCGGGGAGTGCAGCCAGATTCCCTGCTGCCATGTTTATTTCCAGCCATTCCCTCAGCCTTGGGACACACAGGCTCCGGAGGGGCGGGGGGGATGGCAGGCCCTCACCCGACGGTGCCCAGGACACTGTGGTAAGGACAGGTGTCCGAGAGCCAGTACAGGGCAGCCTCAACTCTTAATCGCAGGTGGAGACGTGGAATTGCCAGCACGTTGGCAACACCCTAAGCCAGGAAAGGGAGAGGGCCGTGGGCCGGCCTGTCACCTTCCCTTTCCCAGGGCCAGCGCCAGGTGTCAGCTGGGGAAGGGATGGGTGGGGCACGCCCGGCAGCCCTGTGGCCTTGGACAGGCCAGCAGAGCTCGCCCGGCCAGTTTCCTCAGTTATAAGGGTGGTTGTGATGCAATGACAGAAAGGGAAGCATCCGGTCAGGGGCCTGGTACATGGAAGGTGTTTAGCCAATGCTGGTTTCTCCTCCCGGGAGAGCAAGGCTCTCCACCAGCAGCCGCTTCCCTGGCCTGCTCGCGCCCGTTCCCAACCCCGGCATGTGTTTTGAGGGGCTGGCCTTGCGTTAGCATCCCCATTGGGAGCGCTCGCTTGGTTCACCTGGCGGCTTCCCACCAGCACGGAGGGACCGCTGCAGAGAGCACGTGGGAGCTACGCAGTGGAAACAGCGGGCGCTCCCACTTAACCTTGCCCAACTTTTTGCAGGTTTGGTTGGTTTGAAAATTTCAAAAACAGTGTTGAGAGAACAGTACAGTGACCAGCTATGTATTCGATTCACTAATGATTACCATCTTGCCACACATCTTACCACACTGTGTGTGTGTACACACAGCTATTTTTTTTTTTTTTGTCTTTGCTAAGATTGGAGATCTGGACCTTGGGGAGGTGATTAGTCATGAGGGTGTAGCCCTCAAGATGGGATTAGTGCCTTCGTAAGAGATACCAGAGAGCTTGCTTCCACTCCCTCCCTCCAGCCCGCCCTCCCTTCCAGGCGAGAACATAGCTAGAAGCCAGGAAGAGGGTTGTGGCCAGCAACCAGTGGGCAGCACCTTGATCTTGAGCTTCCCCGTCTCCAGCACTGTGAGAGGGAAACGTTAAGCCACCCAGTCTAGCGTGTTTGTTACAGCAGCCTGAACGCAGACACAGTTACAAGGGTTGTTGAGAGACGATCATTACAATATCTCTCCTTTTCTACGTGAACCATCTAAGCAGGACATTTACCATCTGTGAGACTTTGGACAAGTGAGTTAATTTCTTTGTGCCTCACGTTCCTCACGTAGAAAGGAAGAGAAACGAGGCAGACTTCCACAGAGGTTGGGATACACGCGTGTACATCTGTGCAAAATGTCCCTTTTAGGGGAAGGGCTCCATCAGCGTTGGCTGCCGTGGCTGTGACTGTTAATAAACGATTGCCGAGCTCATATTCCCCGAGCAGAGCTGTGTCTACGCAAACATCTTTAGACCAATTCTCCAGAGGCGCGACCTAGATTGTCGTCGTAAGCCACACTGGCTGGCTTTCATGAAAAGCTGGTGCCTACTTCCGGGAAGGGCCTGTCCCCTGAGATGACTCTACGACTGTGAACCGCGGGCAGCAGTGGGGCGAGCAGCAGGGAGGCCCGAGGAGGACTTGCCTGGCCGTCCTTGCAGGACGCGACCCGACCTTTCTCTGCTACTTGGTGTCCCGTGCCCCCGGCCAGGGCACCGGCGCCCTCTGTGCAGTGTCCCCGCTGCAGGCCTGCGGGGCCCACGGGAGAGACCGGGAAAGCCGGCAGCGCCGGGTGGTGGCTGCTTTCGTTCCAGGGCAGCCCCGGCCGGGTCCAGCGCCCAGGCTGTGCTTTGCTGTATTCGGAAGCGCAATGAGCGGGAGCTGAGCATTTGGGAACGCTGCCTTGCACGCTGGCCTTGCAGGAGCTGCGAACCGCACGGGAAGCTCTGACAGTTCGCCGTGGTGGCCATTCTATTGCCAAGGGCAGTGGCTTTATAAAGCGAAGGATGACCATTGACGTGTCCAGCCCGTAGGCATTCACTTTCCGCTTCTCAATCCCTGACCTCCTACTGAGATTAGTGCCTTCGTAAGAAGAGATGTTTTAGGGTCATTTTCTCCTAAACTGCATGCTCCGTGCCCCCCAGACAGGAGTCCGACAAGGTAGGAGCCTTAGCCGCAGGGAGAGAGAAGCAGGGGTGGGGCTGAGGCAGGGAGAGCGCCCGCCCCCACCCCATACCGAGCTCCCTGTGTGCCTGAGACGGGGAGTTTATTCACCATGCAGTCTGGACCGCTGGCTATATTTGGTTTGTTTCATAAGGTTATCCAGAGCCTATGAGCCATACCTCAAAGCCCTTTAATTGTCCCTGAATTCTTATCTGAGAGGACAGCTTTGGGTAGAAAATTTGCTTATTTTTCAAATAAAATAATACGAGGATGTTTCCAAAGGCGAGCTTTCTCTGGAGCTCCTTCTCTCTCTTTTCCCCTTAAATGGACCCTTTTGGTCTCCCCCCCTCTCTCCTCCCCCCTCCGCTGCCCTCCCTATAGTATCTTCTGCTATTTGCAAGTCAATAACATTAAAGTTAGTCTTTCCATTTTTACCATCGCTTATCATTCCTATACAAATGGCCACGTGACACCTTTGCTGCTCACATGGAGACGAGTGCCCTTGTCCGAGGAAAGGGGGTACGTGAGGGAGCCCCCCGAGCCAGGCCAGGAGGGCGACACCTGAGAGCCGAACCACAAGCCAACATGAGTGGCGCGTGGCAAGTACAGCAGGTATCTGAGGACACCGGACCGGTCCTGGGCCAGCGAGGCTCCAAGGTCTCTCAATCGAGTGTGCTGATTGGCCCAAAGTGGACGCAGGGGCCAACCAGAGGCCAAGCCAGGCTGCAGTGGAGCCCACCCCGTCACAGCCCCAGGAGGGAGTGTCCTGGGCCGTGGCCGGGACTGCAGCCCCGGGCCGGGCTGTTTGTAGGAGGTGCAGGTGATGTGATCCTTAGGAGCACAGGGCGTGGAGTCAAAAGGCCTTGGTTCCCAGCCTGGCTCCTTACTTCTTCTGTGACATCACAAGTTACCGAACTCTTTGTGCCTCAGTTTCCCTTTCTGGGAAATGAAGCTCCTAACCGGGTGGTCCTGAGGACTAAATAAATTAATCTACGCGGAGTTCTCAGTACGATGCCTAACGCGGGAGGAAGCATAACGCTCCGTGGCTGCTGTTGTTACTGTCACTAAGATGGACTTGCCAGGTCATCACGCCTGACGCCTCCCCTTGGCCTAGTTCTTCTCACTCACAGCATCCTGCCTGATTGCCTTCCCCGCCCGCCTGTCGCCAGGGGATGCTACACTGGCCATGCTCTCAGAGTTCAATGATCCACACGGCAGTGACGACTCTGAATCACACTGAGCGTTTCGAACCCGCGTACAGAGCAGTCTCCTGGGAGACGCGCTGATGGGGATCAGTGGCTCTGAGTGGGACCAGATCGAGGCCACGACAAGCCCAGGTGTCTCACCCTGCCTCGGTGTCACCCCGGCCCGCATACCCACTCCCGCCGGGAAGCTGTGCGCCTGCCACCTCCCAAGCAGGCCTTACCTGTGACGTGGAGCTTTTCGTCGGTGACCTCCGCCTTCAGGTAGATCCGGCCCCTCTTCTCCGTGTGGTCCATCCCACAGAGGCTGGGCACGTTGATCACACACTGCTTGTGCACGTTCATATCGCAGGCTGCGGATCGAGAAAGCGGAGGGTGAGTGAGGCTGGGCATATGGATCTGAACCGTCACTTGCTCGGTGTTTTGGTTGGAGGAGCGCAAGTGAAAACGAGACACCCTTTAACTCGATACTTTGTTATAATGTTGTCGGTGACATGGATACTTTGTTATAATGTTGTTGGTCACATGGAGAACTGGGAGCAGATGTTCCTTACAGCACAGGCGTCCTGTGCCCCACAATCCCCTCTAAATGTGCACACCACGTTGGCTCAGTCGTCACTGAAGCAACCCCCCTGTGACCGCTTCAGAGATGTAACAGTGCACAGCACGCACCGGGCAGTGCCTGCGGAGCCCACATGGATCCACACGCAACGGACACAGAGGCAAAGAACACGCACATTTTACACAGAGGCCACTTTCTGCCAGAGAATTGCTTATGCCTTCCTAGCTCACCACTTAGAAGGCGTGAGAATCTGTGGGTTGAGTAGAGGAAATTCATAGCATTTTCCTTTCCCAAGCGAACTCTGTATTTTCAAGAAGGCTTAAATACATTGCTTTTGGTTTATTGTGTGTGTGTGGTTTTTTTTTTTTTTAAAGAACTTGTATTTGATATTTTAAACCTGACTTCAAATATTTAAATATTACTGCAAGTACAACAAATACACGCCTGGCATGATATGCCATTCCTTCCCGGCTGACATTTCGTGGGCGAGACGGGGGAGGATGAAAAAAAGACTAGTCATTGCAGCGAACCAGAGACACCCTGCGAAGAACCCTGTGCAGAGCACAGACACGAGGCTCCGTGGAGGCGCTGCGGCTCCGGGATCCCTGCACCTCCAGGCCCCGGTCCCCCAGGGGGTGCCACGGGGCTCTTCTGTGACCTGCGAGGTGGAGCCGTCATGCCATTCCGTTGTGAGGGTTGAATTTCAATCCGGGTGAACGAAATTGCAAAACGCATGGCGGAGGGTGTCTGTGCTGGGATGGAGCCCGGAAGGCGGGATGATGGGCGCGGGAATAAAGAACAATGGGCTGATTCACGAACGTGATTCTGCCTAGAATTCTATTTCCAAAGTTACCTGTTCAAAGCCATGTATCTGGGTTAGAAAAGATACTGACTCTGGAAATTACCTTCAAGCGCCTGGGAAGCATCTGCAACGTAAAGGAAACAAAGGCCACAGCCTCTGCGAAGGATCCGGGCAACGGGGAAGGTGGGGGAAGTGAAGGCACACGGGGCTCTGTTCTTGTCGTGGCTTCTCCCATTAGTGGCTTTTATATCTCGGGAAGCTTATCTGCTTTCTCAGATTCTATTTCTTACTCTGCAAACTAAGAGGCTGGCCCAGACAAGCGGCTGATAAGCTTCTTCCCACCACAGGATTATGACCCTACAACGTGCAGGCAGAGTTCTCCGCTGCAGAAGGTAAGGGACGGGCTGGGTCCTGGCACCCACCTGCCTTCTCCCCTCCTCCCTCCCAGAAGGAGCTCAGGCAGCCGCTCCAGAGGCCTCAGGACTTCCAAGGAAAGGAGTTTTACACAAAACAAAAAACACTGGTTTCCAGCCCCGCCAGTGTGGCTCAGCGGTTGAGCACTGACCTATCAACCAGGAGGTCACAGTTCGATTCCCGGTCAGGGCACATGCCCGGGTTGCGGGCTTGGTCCCCAGTGTGGGGTGTGCAGGAGGCAGCCATTCAATAATTCCCTCTCATCATTGATGTTTTTATCTCTCTCTCCCTCTCCCTTCCTCTCTGAAATCAATAAAAATAAATATTTTCTTAAAAGCACTGGTTTTCAGATTTTTTTTTTAAAAAAACAACAGAACCCATTTTCCAATAAAGACTTAAGTGGAATCCTAATATGTAAACCAGATGAGTATTCTTTTATTAGCATATAATAAATTCAAATTTATACCATTTATTTATTATTAAGACATTCACGGACAACCAACAAAGCCCTCAGATCCAAACACATTTTGAAGCCAGCTGTGAGGGATGCTGGGTGAAGTCCCAGTTTGGCTTCAAGAACTTGTTTACTGATGCTTCTCGTTACAGTGATGCTGGACCAGAGCCTCGGCTCCTACAGAAGAGTGTGCACCAGCGGCAGCACTGTCTAGCTCCTCCTTCCCAGGCCTGAGGACGCTTCAGTACAGCGGATGCAGCAGGAGAAACCTGGCTACACATTCCTCTCAGTGAGTGGCGCCGGGCAGCATCCGGTCTCCCACGCCACCCTCAACGCGTCAAGGTTGAGTGTGTCACACATTCAAGTGCTCCTTTTTGTTCCAACATTGAAAGCAGTGACAAGTGTACTTACAAATGCACCTCCAATGTGCACTTGCAGAGCCCTGAAAACCGTGTCTTTGGGATCCCTGGGTTACGTTAGGCTATGAAATTCCACAGCTTGGCCCGGCTGGTGTGGCTCAGCAGTTGAGTGACGCCCTAGGAACTTGCACAGCAGTTCTCAACCTGTGGGTCGTGACCCCTTTGGGGGTCGAACGACCCTCTCACAGGGGTCGCCTAAGACCATTGGAAAACACATATATAATTACATACTGTTTTTGTGATTAATCACTATGCTTTAATTATGTTCAATTTGTAACAATGAAAATACATCCTGCATATCAGATATTTACATTATGATTCATAACAGTAGCAACATTACAGTTATGAAGTAGCAATGAAAATAATTTTATGGTTGGGGGTCGCCACAACATGAGGAACTGTATTAAAGGGTCGTGGCATTAGAAAGGTTGAGAACCACTGAACTAGGAGGTCACAGTTTGATTCCTGGTCAGGGCACATGCCCAGTGGAGGGCATGCAGGAGGCAGCCAACCAATGATTCTCTCTCATCATGGATATTTCTATCTTTCTCCCTCTCCCTTCCTCTCTGAAATCAATATACATTTAAAGAAAAAGAAAAGAAAAGAAGAATGTGATTTAAAAAAATTTTCCACAGCCTGCTGAAGGGGAGAACCCTGTGTTCTGAGAAACTGCCCATCTACTCTGTGAAGTTCATGTGTCTTTATTTTTATGTGTCCCATGTTTGCTCCATTTAGCATACACATATCTCAAGCTCCTGGCCGTAATCACAGTCGTTAATGAATGGCCAGATGCTGGTATTCCCCTGGCGCTTTCTTGTCTACTAGAAAAACAGACTTAGTCATTACCTTTCGTGTCCTCAAAGTATACACTTTTACCGAAGCAAATAAATAGTCTGGGAAATGCATCTCAACATATAGGAACTGTCAAAGCCAAGAGTTCCATAGCTGTTCTTTCCCCGGTAGCCGGTGGAGATATACACGGAACAGGCAAGGGGCACGGAGGTGGGAGGCTGTCCTCACCTGTGGTCTCTGGTGACTGCATCCTAATTGAACGGATAGAAATTTGAGCCGCCCAGGGACATGCAGGGCCAGTGAACTTCAGTGAGATGCCACCCTGCCTCTTGTTTTCACTGTGGTTTCAGTTTAAGGAGAACCTCCTGGATTTTTCCACATCCGCCCACTCATTAGAGACCCAGGAGGACAGCGACTGTGATCGCTTAGCTTACTCCGAAGCCGAACCAAACGCGGAGCGTGGAGGCGCATGCATCTGCTCCGGGGTTTGACGCACCTGCGTTTCATAGGGACTGAAGATTTCTACCACGAAAAACTGTGACAGCACCAACATTGTGGATCGACTGGGTGCTTTCTGGGGTCCATAATGAGGCAGTGAAGTAGTTTAATAAGAACGTTGGCTGGGGAAAAATCCGACACTTTATTGGTCTGGTCTATACCGGAATGAGTGCTCCCTCTCGATGAGTTGGAGCTGAAACGTTACTGCACCTGATGCGCGCAGGGAACCCCGGGCCCAGGCTGGGAGCCTGGCCATGGCCTGGAAAAGAGAAGGTACTTACTGTCGCATTTCATCCCCTGGTGGATGAGCCCGTACAGCAGTGACCCGCAGTGGTCACAGAAGGTGGGGCTTCCATAGGTGTGGATTTTGAACTTGTGCTTGCTCCGGGGGTCCTGCAGGGAGAAGCAGCAAGGTTGTTCATTCCCATCACAAAAGGGCACCTTTGTGGGCTAAGAGCCAAGGCCAGCACCCTTCCCCTGACTCCCCATTCCCATGTTGAGGTTCCAAATGGAACCAGACTGGGATGAGGCCAAAATAAGTCGATCTTAGTAAAGCGCTCAGATGGGCAAATCCATGAGGAGCAGTGCACACCTCTGTTTCTCAAGGCTCTGATGATCTCTCTATATAAAAGCCTAAGCGATGGTTATGACTGAACGACCAGAACGACCGGTCAACCAGTCGCTATGACGTGCACTGACCAGCAGGGGGCAGATGCTCAATGCTGGAGCTGCCCCCTGGTGGTCAGTGCGCACCCACATTCAACTTCCTGTGGTCCCTCCCCCTTGCCAGCCGGCCCCCAAAGGTGCTAAACCATTCGTAGATGACCTGCTTCTGGGTTGGGGTTTTGTATGCAGCAGAGCAGCACCCTTGCTGTGATCTATTGAAAGTCAGCCCTCAACACAAGGGTTTGTCTCACTCCCATCCTCTCCCTTTCCCGGGGGCCACCTGCCCATCCTGGTGGCAAGGGAAGGAGAAAGGGGGAAGGTGGGGAACCGTGTGAAGGCAGGGAACTGCGCGCTGGTGTAAGCACCACCCTGCCTTGATAAACATCAGCATTTCTCCCAGTTTTTCGCTGTATACAGACAGTCCTCGGGTGACGTTGGACTTGATGTACGTCGTTTCGTGGTTACGTCACCATCTCCCATTTATTTATATATATAAAAAGTTCCATCATTTCGACGTATGTACATATGTGCTTTTATGTTTTTTATTATTTATTTACCACAAGTAAAGGTGAGGAATTGCTATCTTTCTTTTATATATTTTTACTGTTTCACTTCATTACTGCTGTGTATGTGCTCCATGTGAGTGACGTAGGTGCGTATGGTGCTTATGTAGGTGGGTTCCGACTTCGGGCGAAAATCATGTTACGTCACACCATAGGAATAGACCTCTGACATAACCCGAGGAACTACTGTACTTATTACCCTCATTCGACAGAGCTGATGGAGACCTTCAGAGTCACATGGCCAGTCACATGAGCAGGCATGCTCATCCACTGACATGTTTTCTGTGGCTGCTCCCTCGACACAAACCCAGTGAATGACCTCGGAGAGGTCATGCCCCTTATTAATAAAGCAGAGAAAAGCCAGTCTGCCCAGGGGAGAGCCTGGAGCGAGGCGCAGCTTAGGGAACATCTAAGGGCTTTGCGACCTGAAAGTCCGTAAGCAAATACGAGAGGAGATGATTGCGATTGTATTTTCCTTGGAAGTGAGCCGAGGTGCCCAGGCTTCCCTCACTTCAGTGACCTGGGCCTGGATGGGAAGGGAGAGGAACGCTAATAGCCCAGTCCTCCTGGGGATTGGAGTGGACGCCAAGGTGGCAAGCAGCCAGGGGACTTCCTCCAGGTCCCGGGTTCCTGCCTCCGGTGGACACGGGCCTTCTGTGCCCAACGCCCACCCTGAGGGGTAAACTGTGCAACCTCCTACCAACCCAGCTGGCTGTGCACGGATCGACCATAGGATGAGGGCCTCTCCCACACACCAGAAAGAGGACGCAGGGCCATAGAGCCTCGTTTCCTGTCTCCCAGATCGCAGCCAGTCTACACTGTGACTTACGGGATTTACAGAGAGCAACGGTACTAAACCCTCCCCAGGTTCTCGTCAATAATCACCAATGAGCACTGCATTTCACTTCTGAGGGCCCCAATGTCCCCACCTGGAGCCACAGGCGTTGGGAGGGTGAGCCTCTCTGAAGGGGCCTCTCACGGAGCCCTACGTGGGCAGGAGCGCCAGGGCTGCGGAGGATGCCAGCGGCGAGGGGAGCCCCTGCTACACTAGAGCTTGAAATCTATACTTGATGATCCTGTTGATTCTGTCTTGCTTTAAAAAAACCCCACAAAAACAGAAAACAACAACAACAAACGTGTCTTTACTTTGGAATAATTTAAGACTCGTAAGAACGTGCAAAAATAGTGTGGATGTTCCCAGACACTCCCGCAGCCAGCCTTCCACAGTGACACAGGTTACACAACCACAGCACGTGGCGAGACCAGCGCGTCGACACCGATACCCTACCATTACCTAAACGGCAGGCGTTAGGGTTTCGCCAGGTCCTACATGCGTAATGCCAATGCCTGCACTTTTATTAAGCAGCTTATGAGTGAAATGCACTGTTTTACCGTGTGGGGAATACAGTGATATCTGCTGGGTACATGTCACTGATTTATAAAATGTACAGCCCCTGGAATCTTACGCGAAGGGGTCATGGGAGGGCGAGTCTAAAGATGTGTTTGAAAAGTAGAATCAAAATGCTCTTCTCTACATTAAGGAAACACATACGCTTTCCAAAATTTTCTCATCAGTTTTTCAAAACAAAAACCATGTTGCGGCACCAGCTGCCTGAAAGCGCATACACGGTGCCCGCCAGGCCAGGGGCAGGGAACGGTGTGTCAGCTCCAGTGCCGGAGGAGCAGGCACCTCCAGGACATCACGTGGCAGGAGCCGCCCCCACTGGCCCTAATGGGCTTTGTGACAGGAGGCTCCGTGGGGGGGGGGGGGGGGGGGGGGGGAGTGGCGCTGAGTCTCAGGAGTTTCAGGGGGACAGGTCTCACTGGTCCTCAGGTTGTGAGCAGCCCCGTTTGATGGACGGGGCCTTTGAATGCCTTCCTACATCATAAACCTGGACCCCATCCTTCGCTTGCGTGACCTCCAGGTAGCACCCAGGCTTCTCTCATCCTGCTGTGGCTGCTCCCTCTACCTGCTGGGACCAACGTATGCCATGACCCGCCTGTTGGAACACGTAAAGAGGCAACAGTGAGGGCTGCTTCCTCCTCTTAGGACGCCTCCCCAGAGGCCTGCACCAGGGCCAACGCTCCTCTTTCCTCTGACCTCGCAGAGCACACACGCACATGCACACACATGCGCATGCACACACACACACCTGGGGGACAGACACCGCAGCCTAAAAGACAGTTCCCAAAGCATGTGGCTGAGCTCGCAACTGGACCAGAACCAAGGCTGACAATGAGGTTTTAAGTATTAAGTTGATCTCCATTTGAGCTTCCTGGAAACCAAAGCAAAAGGGGAAAGACTCACAGCAGGTTCCTCTGGGACTGCAAAGCCCCAGGACGCAGAAATCTGTCTTTAAATCCGCGCCCCCCTCCACCCCCCCAGCATTGTCTCACACACGCTGGACCTCCAGTATGTGTAAGGAACGACTGAATCTTTAACAAAGCATCCTTTTGTCCCTGCTCACTGGAAGGTTCTAGGTAAAGTTGCCTCACATATAAGCTAAGTTTGGCTGCACCCAAGGACACACAGAAATGGCTGGCACACACCCCCAGCCTTGACTCTTGCCAAGTTAGCAACATTTCCCCCTTTAGTGTGATGCAGGCAAAGCCTCTTTGTTCCTTCCCTGGCACTGGCAGCCCCTTATTCAGTGGGGCAGGAACCCTGCTGTCACAGGTCACACGCTGCCATCACAGCGTCATGACAGTGGAAAACGCTCGGCTCAGATGCTCCGTCATATACACGGTCGGGGGAGGAAAAAGAGATTTCCGGCTAAACCAATTTTCATAGGCACGAATGAAGTCTCACCCACAAACCCGAAGCTAGACCTTTTAGGGGGAAAAACAACAAACATCTCAAGTTCTGTGAGTCTGTTGCTAAACGCAGGGGCTCCGTTAGCCTGCGTTCAGAAACATTCCTACCAGGACTTCCTAGGTCTTTCCTCATCAGCAACACCACCTCCGTCACCATCACTGTGCAGTGTGTTAAAAATAAACCCTTGGACCACGCTGCACCAAATGTTGATGCTGTGTGGGTCTTAAATTTCCTAGTCTTTTTTTTTTTATCATATATCATATAGGTTTCAGGTATAGATTTCTATGATACAAGATCTGTATATTATGTCATGTGCCCACCACTCGAAATCAAATCATCTTCTACCTTCATATATTAGGCCCCCTTCAGCCCCTCCCCTCCACATGTTTCTCTTAAAGGACCCAAATGGCTGTTATTGAGGGCTGGAGTTCAGATTTTGAGTTTCTGGACAAGTCTGTTTTGAACGGTGGGTGTGTGTGTGGGGGTGAAGGGGTGGGGGTGGGGGGGCACCCTGCGGTGTGACTTCTGCAATTGCCCAGAGCTCCGTGGCTCCTTCAAGCTGCTCCCTCTGAACACCAAGGGAAATTTCCCCCACGTTCGTCATCTGACATGTCCTCATGAATCACGCTTGCAAGCCAAGCCTGGGTCTAAATGTCACCCATGTGCTGACTACACAAGCAACACCAAAAAAACACTGCTCTCAGCGGAATCTGGCAACCTTCCTGTGATGTTAGTTTCAGTGGGAAGCAGGTTTGTGTGTGTTTTTGTTGTTTTTTTAACTCTGCTTTTTAAAATTCCTACTTAAAATTTTTTGTTGATGTAAGACTCTTACCTAAACCAGATCATATGAGCAGGGCGACTTTATGTGACTTGGGTACCATTATAGTTATTACACTGGATGGCATGCACTGAGCCAGGCGCCCACCGCCCGCCTCGGGCTCCTAAATCAGCCAGGCTGACCATTCGGGCTTGGGGAGGGCACTTTGCCTTTGATTACACTGGTCTCATTGCATGTTGCCTGTTCTAAGAAAGAACTAAGGAACTTCCATGTCTGGTGACAGCTCACTTTTGCTCTTAATGTAGCCCTGTTTTATTCTCATGATTAACACCCACCTTCACAGTTGGACTAACTTGTCTAACCAGACTTTGCTGGTAGAAAGATTCGTATAGGTCCTCTGCCAAGCTGTGCAAGGTGCTTTAATCCTTATGTTGACAAACTTTTTGAATAAAGTTCTATATAAACCTCTACCGGCAAGGCAAAGCTAAATGAACCGTAACATATTTACACCGAGCGATACTATGTAGCAGCTAAATCGAATGAGCTCAATCTTCCTGCAGCAACATGGACA